AAACATTTTAATTAAACGATTGCTATTGGTTGATCTGTGCAAAATACAATAGACATGTGATTAGAAAGGAACAATTTTTTTCGTAAATATACCTCAACATAGTCAGTGAGTTGTATTGTAGTTTTATGTGGTCTCTAAACTATGTAGATTCTATTAACTGTGTGGTAACCCAGCACATAATGACACACCAAATTTTCACTTCGAAAGCAACCAATTCTGTTCGAAGAAAGCCAATAGACCTTTTCAGCTTGTATGCAAATTAACATGGTCTGAAATGGTTAAGCTTTATTGTCTATGCCATGATCAAAACATGGGAAATGGTTTGATTGGCATGCAAGCTGAAATGGTCTATTGGTAAATTATTTCGCTTTGTAATTCGCTCTTCTTATCCATGCTATCCATATCAACACTTGAAATGCAATGTAAAACCAGATAGATCTACTGTATAGTGTCACATAAATAGCTGAACAAAAATAACATATCGACCTATACCTTGAGCTTATCCTCTTCTATTTTAGCAAGTGAGTGAATTTTCTTGTTTTCTAGTTGTTTACTGGCCAGCTGAATGGATTAGTTCAAATGTCAATGGTATAATATATATGTAATACATTTATGGAAAACTGGCATCAAAATATAAAACATTTATGGAAAACTGGCATAAAAATATATTACATTTATGGAAAACTGGCATCGAGATATAATACATTTATGGAAAACTGGCACAAAATATAATACATTTATGGTAAACTGGCACAAAATATAATACATTTATTGAAAACTGGTACAAAATATAATAAATTAATGGAAAACTGGCATCAAAATATAATACATTTATGGAAAACTGGCATCAATTGGTTCATTGGTTGGATGAAATATTCATATAATTTATACAAAGTTAAAATAGTTTAAACTCTGGGGCCGATTATATAAAACTACATTTTCAGTAGCTAAATCGCAGTTAACTCAGAAATACATGACTCTTATTGGTCAATTCTGTCACTAACTACATTAAAAGTTAAAAATTAATTACGTTTTGATACAACCGGTTCCTAGTAAGGGTCATGCATTACCGCATATTTTAAAAAGCTGAAAGGGATATTCCATGTTAAATCAAGGTTTCACTAATCGTCTTTATAGTATGTTCTCTAGTAAATAAAATTCTTTAGTAAGTGCATGCCAATATCACACGTTGCGCATTTTGAATATATCAAACATGCCAATTGCTGTACAATCTGTTTAAAATTAACCTCTAATGAATCGCAAGTGCTGTAAAACAACTTGAAGAGGTTATAGACATAGCTGCAATGTTACCTGCTAATTGCATCGACAGATTGTTATTCTCATTTCGCAGACTCTAAAACGAAAGTGGAATAAAATCGTAATTACGAAAGCAAGATATAATTAATGGTATTTAAAAACGAACCTGCGGCTGAGAAGCCAGGGAGTTCATTTCTTTTTGCGTCTTTTCCCGTAATTCACTCAACTTTCTAAGAACAGAAACACCACGTGAGAGTGGAGAACCAAAGAGAATCATCGCGATTATGAGAAAGGTGGAATTTTTGTGTGATATTATTTAGAACCGCGAGTGGCTAATTACCGCGTGTATACGTAACCATGGAATGACTCAACAGTAAACCAAATGTTGGCAAATCATAGTAAAATTGTCGCAGTAAACAATTAACGTGGGTGTATTGGAAAATTAAAAATATGTTGAGTAATTAATTAACAAAGAAATACATATCTAGTAAATTATTCTAAAGGTGAGAAAAAAACGACAAAATATTTCCACACCTCCGGCTATCATTGACAGTAGAATTCTGTGAGCTCCTCTAACTTTTGATTTTGCAACTCCTGACGTTCCATTAACACTTCATTTTCACTCAAAACCAAATTGCATTGCTTCTCCAATTGTTGCCTAGTAGATAAGAAAATTTCGTGAGAAAATAAAACCCTTCCGAAAAAAAAGCAAGTGGCTTGTTGCGAGGAAGTCAAAACGTGGCTAATATTGCAGATTTTCTTCGGCAAAAAATTTCAGGAAGAAAGCTATATTTGCGTATTTTCAAATTTTTACAGGAGAAAAGAAAATTTGTTTTACTCCCGTTACACGTGTATTTAGTCTTTACTTTATTAAAACGGTAAACCATATCTTATATAAACAAACAGGCCAAAATTGTTTCACAAATAACCTCGGTTTTGATGAAACATTCTTTTCTTTTCCCATTTTGGATTATAAGAACTCCAGATTTTCTCGTTCGTTATTAAAAACACAAAATGTCCACTGTCTGAATAAATTATAAAATTTATAGTGATTTTTTCAAAAGTATTTCCCAATTGGAAAGTAGCTCTTTGGTAAAGAACACCTCCACGACTTTTTTAAACCATATTCAGAAAGTATAAAGATTTTTTATACGGGCAATAATGAACTAAGGGGCTCATTTCAATATCTCAAAATCATCTCATGCTTCGTTGAATGTAAACAGCCCCTAATTTTTCAGTTTTGTGCAATTCATTCTCACGTCATGGCCGGAACAAATAAAAGCCTCTCAACCTTACACAATAGAGTCAGGAAAGGAATAAAGACATAGTTTGTACTAAATATGCTGGTTATTTTGATCTCTCACTAGGAAGACAATAAAACTGCAGGTTGCAATTGTTTCTTCACTTTTCGGGGGGATCTAAAAACTGTTCTGCAGAGAGTTCTCTTTTATGCGCACAGAAAATTTCAAACATTTTTTATTATTTCTTTTAAAATTAAAAACTACATAAGTAAATAAAATAATTTTTTATTCACACATTTGTAAAATTTTTAAAGTGTATGCCAATTTCACACGGTTGCGCATTTTGAATATATCAAAAGGTGTTTTAAAAAAACTATGCAATATATTTTGTTACTGCAAAGGTCTATTAGCCTTTAAAGTTACCGCACGTGACGTCAAATCGGGAATTTCGTACAACTTAAACAAAAGAAAACTGATTTGCAATGCCGTTATACCTACACGCGCGTTCAAAATTCCACATTCAAAACACATTTAGCGACATATATAGATAACGAAGTCCACAGTTCTTACCATTTCATTAAAAGCATCCCTTTCTAAACTGGTTGTCTTTTTAGCCTACACACGCACAAAGAAGACGTTCAGAGAACGGTTGTACAAAGTTGAACCTCAATTGGTTCATTATATCTCATACACACTAATACGGATTAGTTCCACTTACCACTTTTAGTACTTCACTTAGGGTGTTTTGCCCGGCAGCCTCCCTTTGCTGAAGATGGGAAAATTGCCCTTTAAGAAGTACAGTCTTACGCTCATTTTTGTGGGTAGCCGCTGCGCATGCGCGGCTAACCACTATGTTATAGCTGAAAAGTGTCCGCGTCCGTCTAAATGTCCACATCTTCGGAAATCGTCGGATAAGTGAACAGAACACGATTATGAACTATTAGTGTTTGTTGACATCTTCGGTGATTGTCGGATGACCGAAACGAACTAACATGGATGCACACCACTATTGTTGCAATTGCACGATTTCTGGAATTCGGGAACATATTTATTTATTTCAAAGTACTTTTGGCATGGGGGAACATATTTATTGATTCGTAAGTACTTTTGGCATGCTATTTATTATCCATATATAATTGTATATGATTTCCAAAGGTAACACAGCATAAGTATTAAAACTTGCTTATATCGCCCATTTCATTTGTTGATTAATTTCAAATAGTTAAATTTAAAAACGTTTGGGCTAAACCATAATAGATTTTAGGCCTATGGATATTTAAAATGGCTTTTGTATTGTAAAACAGAGCGGATATTGATACACCCTGCATATTTAATACCTTGTATATATTTAATGACTTGTACATACATGGAAATGTTAATATGCACACATTTGTATTTTTTGAATATGAAATATTTATATTCCATTTGCTTAAAAAAGATCAAGATATTAAATGCTAAATTATGCTTCCTGTAAACACTAAAATTGAGCATAGGAATTATGCTTAAATTCACAATGATGGTGATGGAAGAAAATGGCTGAGATATCTAAAATGCAGGGGACTTGATAGATCAGGTTGTATAAAAAAACAGTAATCGAAGACCAATATAGTCATTGCAAATGTCCCATTCCCAAAATTCCATGTTTAGACATATAATTAATATAAAAATTTTACTCAAGTTAGTTTAAACTCACAGACAATGTGTATATTGTAGAAACATATGTGTATGTAAACTACTGATAATATATTCAAATCAAGACCTAACTTATAAATATATAAGTTCAAAGTCATATAAGATTCTTTAATTAAATGATATGAAATATATACCATTTTGTCAAATAACAAGTGTCAATTGTCACTAGAAAGCTTTAACATAATTTAACAGAACTTTATATTTTTTTTGTTTTACTTTATTTTATGTAACTGTGCAGTTCCTATAAACATAACTTTTAGAATAGTTCAATGATTTTCTTCTGGATAGTGTCATAAACAATGTCCAGTTCATCAATGTCTGCTATCAATTGATTGATAAGCTTTTCTGGTGTCATTTGATCTAGCGAGTCATCTGTGGAACATCTAGCTATGAGCTGATGCACAATGCTGTTGAAGGCTGTCAAATTGAATTCGTACAGGAACAATAACATCCGATATACTAGCTAATAAATAATCAAGGAGCATAAAAAAAAGTACTTGGAAAACGTTAAAAAATCTTTCTCTCCTTCCAAACTAAGCTTTATGTTATCAGATGATTTGTACCACCACTCTGGAACCTTACTCTCTTTTTTGTTCTGTCCACCTATTCTGTTTTTTAAAAATCATGCATTTCCTATCTTTTGTAAATATGTTTTAAATATGTTATTATTCTGTCGTTAAAAATGTATTTAAATTATACAATAAAAAAATTAAATATATTGTGCAAAAAAATCGATTTCGTGAATTCGACTGGCTAACATATGGCATTAGAAAGTAAAATTATAAGCATTAGTCTATATTGACTCGCCACTATAGCAGCCTGGAGTTTGACATTGAATCAAACTTGAATTTTTTTGCCAAACCATAGCTTTATCGCAGGCAATGATTTGCAAATGTTTTCGAGGCTACCCACATGTACGCATTGCGTACCTATTTTTTCTAAAATAGGTAGGAAAAAGCATCTCTTGGATATATAGCGAGAAACAAGCAAGAGAAAACGCTTTGCAAGTACAGGCGATACTCAAATCTCAAAATGCGATGACTTTATAATTCTGGAACATACTCAAGACAGATGACAAGTCCTTATGAATGCATGCAAAACGATTTCGAGCTTTCGTACAACCGGGCACGTGTTACATGTGATGTTTGACGATACCTTTGAACTTCTGTGAAACTGTGAATCTCTCTTTCTAACTGCGCATTAACCAACTTACAATCTGCAATGAGATAGTAAATCATATAATAATGAAAACAGCATTGCCTGGTGTTTCCCAACTGAGAGACACAAGGACAGCATCAACTAGCGTTGAACCAATTTTTGGGATATTACCTAATTTCTGAACTATGCAAAGGTACTGAAGTTCAAAAGTCGAAGACGACGAGTGGGTGAGACTAAAATGTCATATTCAAGTACGTAGTTACGTACCGGACGCATCTTTAAGTCACTGTTCGAAACATGCCAATTGTTGTAAGATCTGTTTAAAATTAACCTCTAATGAATCGCAAGTGCTATAAAACAACTTGCAGAGGTTATAGACATAGCTGCAATGTCACCTGCTCCGACAGATTCTTATTTTCATTTCGCATACCCTAAAACGAAAGTCCAATAAAATCGTAACTACGAAAGCAAGAATAAATTGATGGTATTTAAAAACGAACCTGCAGCTGAGAAGCGAGGTAGTTGATTTCTTCTTGCGTCTTTTCCCGTAATTCACTCAACTTTCTAAGAACAGAAACACAACATGAGAATGGAGAACCAAAGAGAATCATCGCGATTTTGAGAAAGGTAGAATTTTTGTTTGAAATTATTTAGAACCGCTATCTAAGAAATCAGTCACATGTGGATTAGCATGTATGTAACTTTCAGGACAATTAAAGACAACCTTTGGTAGAATTGTCAAGAGTTTAATGTTCAGGTTCATGTTCAGAGGTTCATCCGCAGCAATTTTAGTTCTTATATACTGTAATAACAGTTCTAAATGAATGCTTCTAGATCTTTGTTCAGAAAAATAGTAAAGATGGGATGTATGGGCAATTACAAATTAATTAAGTAGCCTACACTCATTGCTTTAGGCAAAACCAGTCAGCAAAAGCTGGCCCTGGACCCTTTTCTTGTTGAATTTGATAAAATACTGAAGTGCACAGAAACTGTAATAAAGTTGCAATTCATTCCTTATTCATATCATCTAATTCTCAATATAGAAGTATTAGTATTATCTGAGGTTTATAAAAGGTGGGCAGTTAATAATATTAGATTGAATGATTTAATATTAGATTAAATTGACGCATCGATTCTGCCTCTATAATGAATACAATTGGTTTGTATCCGGAGCAACCTGGTTAAACCACAATTGAACTGATCAAATTGATATGTTCATACTAATGAGGTTTTATATACTTTGGGTTTTATATGTGACACATATGTATAATTATAACAAATTCAGAGTTGATTATAGTTTATTGAGCTTCATTGTATGTCAATTTGCTCAAAACTAGTCATCTTCAAAAAGTTATATGAAAAAAATTAAATGCTCTATCAAATTGAACATATATGTTATCATATAATATTTTTACATATTTTACAACAAATACATAGCCAACTGATTGCCAGCCTGGCCCACAACCGGATACTTAAATATGAATAGAAGACTAAAACAACAAGACGCCTGTTCTGGCGTTAACTCCGGCGCACGTGCCAGTCTTTAATATAGAGCTTCTGAACATAAACAATACAATACAAGACATTTTTGGTGTCTCTTAGTCAAATACTTGTCTAGGGCGCGCGCATTGATTAGAACTTAATTAAATGAAACGGTTTAATTATTAGCGCGAGCAAACTAATCACGACTAACATGATATTTAAGTGACGCGCAAACGTGTATTCAAGTAATTGCACTGATGAAGGTCCGGGTTAACGGACCGAAAGCTTTGCAGTATTTAATACTTACGTGGTGTACCTACAAGTTATTATAATTACTAAAGTCGCCATGCAATCATACAAGAAAATTATAAACAATACAGTTCATATTCGCATTTAGATGCCTTACGAAGCTAAATGTTCGATCGCGAAATTCAGCAGCACATCGTACTTTAAAAAGTATAGAAGTTCAATTGTTCGAAAATGTAAACAAACCGCATGATACATTCGCTTTGTCTCACACTTAGCCTTTGGAATTCGCGCTTATATATTATATCTTCAATCCTGTGCAAACTACGACGTGTCAACGCGCCCATACACGACCACATCATCTTGTTAAATGGCGAAATAGCAGCGATATTATTAAAATAGGACCAGAATCTACATGTATTAAATATATTCTTAGTCCAATTCAATCTAAACTTAATCGAAGAGCATGAAAACAACGGTTTATTTGTTCCTCTTGAAGGAATTGCCGTATCATGCGAGCGAAATCGAATCGCGCATCGGAAAATTAGCCAAAGCTGTGCACCACAACTCTTAGGAGATAAGACTGGGACGTAGATAAATACAGTCACATACACACTTTAATTACTAGAATGTTTCCCGCCATTTCAGACTTGCGACGACGAAAAATAAAAAAAAAAACAAAAAAACAACACAACAAAACCGGGGCGAATTTTCAACTCCGTCGCTGACGCCGGAGTAATTACCTTTATTTTAGTGCTTGCTAAGTCTTGATATGGATCGACTAACATGCTTCGATTGATTAACTAATAAATTAATTTCAGGTTATTGTATGTGCATGTAAAAAATTCAATAGATGAAATGTACCTAGTTTATTTTTAATTTAGGAGAATTTGGATGAATGAAATGCAATTCATATGAAAATTAGAAAACAAACACAAAATAAAGCTCTTCAGATGAATGCATCTTAATAGGTAAAAGTTCTAACATCTTAAGAGAGAATTAAATAACTAACCTGCATGATTTAATAGCATTTGTGGGAGCTAGTCACACAGGTTAACCATTTGACTTCTTAAGTCTGAGTTCTGACTATACATTCATAATTTCTAGTATTAAATTACAACTAACTCAAACATATATATTTAAATAGAATGTGCACATACAGTGACAAATGTTGTAGTAGATTACTTTGCAGGAGTAAAATGCAAAATTTCCACTGTGAAGATAGCACAATTTTGAGAGTTAGCTATTTGGTCTGATGAGATAAGGAAACTTTCATAGTTCGGATAAAAGAAATTTATAAACCAAATCATGACAATTATACTTTGAAACAATATGTCAAATTATATCTATTGATTTTAAAAATAATAACAGAATGAAATGATATGGGTAAAAATAAGACGAGAGAAAAACATCCCGGACTATCTTTGGTAAATATAATTCCACTATATTCTGTCACTGGACCAAGAATGGAAAAGAACTCGAAATAGTGAACCATGCTAAGATCCTTGGACTTACAGTCAGCAGTGATCTAAAGTGGAGAGCACATGTGGAGCAAATTGTGTCGAAAGCTACCAAGAGATTATATCTGATAACACAACTTAAACGAGCAAATGTCCCTATCGAAGACATAATAATGATATATTGTGCATGTATACGGTCGATTTTGGAATACGCGTCACCTGTTTTTCACAACTCGTTGCCCGTGTACCTAAGCAACGAGATTGAGAGGGTACAAAAACGGTTTTTGAGAAGAGTATATCCGGACCACGGTTATGATGACGCTATTAACATTTGGCTATTTCTAAAACCAGGAACGGGGAATCGGGGAACGGAACGGGGAACGAAATGTTTATTTTATATTTCTCCTCACCCCATAGGACACCATACAGAACAACCAGCCAACCAACCAACAAACCCACACACACACCGACCAACAGACACAAACCAAAACCCCTCATGCAAACCCACACCCCACACCACCACAAACCCAGAACAACTAGCACAACAACAGTAACAAGAACACCACAACTTCGAATACCAACCCACTATCGACAACCTAATAACAACAGACACCAAACCCATCAACCAAACAACAATGAGCAACAACCAGCACCTCACATAAACATTCCATCTCACTTGAACTACAACACGCAACAACAAATCCTGGATTTTCTAAGACGCAACAAACCCACACACCACAAATAACAAAAAACCAACTAAAACTCAGCACAGATACAAACAATTACAACAAACGAAACATCCTAAAATATTTAAAAACACAATGGAACACAAATAACAACAGACACAAAAGCAAAAATAAACTACATAAAAAACTCAAATACAACTCCCAACACAATACTATTGTCAACATCACTAACAAACCCATCTCACATGAAGCACAAAAAACCCTGTCGAAAGGTCTTACCTTTGTCCCGACACCCAAACACACACCATACAAGACCATATATGACTCTTTTCTGAAATATAAAAAAAGCATGTACAATAAATATTTCTTCAGAAACAGAAAGGACACTAAAAAACATCCATTTAAACTACCCAGTAACTTCACAGCACCAACCCCGACAACAGCAACCTGATAGAATACATATCAAATGTACTCTACGATCTCAAAACTGAATTTGGAACACAAAAACAAACTACAAAAACCAACATATCCTCACAAAGCCTCAAAACCATCCATGATCTGAAAAAGGATGATGATATAATAATCAAACCAGCAGACAAAGGAGGAGCCATTGTGATATGGCCAATGGAAGATTATCTTACTGGATATAGACAACTTTATAATGAGAAACACTACTAGAAACTAACACATGACCCGACCCCTGAAATTTTAACTGAAACCAAAACCCTAGCACACAAACTCCACAAATCTAAGGCCATTGACAACACAACATTTAAATATCTCACAACTGACAATCAAGCCAGGACACCACAACTTTACCTTTTACCCAAAATACACAAAACTAACATTCCAGGTCGACCTATCATCTCCGGTTGTGGTGGACCAACAGTCAAGCTTTCTCAATATGCTGACCATCTACTCAAACCACTCCTACAACACATACCATCATATGTCCAGGACACTACAGACTTTCTATGCCGGATATTTGCTCAGAATAACACACTACCAGACAAGTTCATACTTATTACTATTGACGTAAGAAGTCTCTATACCAACATACCTAATGATCAAGGCATCCAAGCCTGTGTAGACATGTTGAAAGAAATCAACAAAATTACCCCTGAAATGGAGAAACTAGTTCATGACATCCTATCCCTTGTACTTAAGAAGAACGCCTTTGCTTTTAACAACGAACACTTCCTACAAATTCACGGCACTGCTATGGGATCACCAATGGCACCTACCTATGCAAACATATTCATGGCAGCACTTGAACAGGAGCTCCTCCAACAAGCTCCTGAAAATCTTATACCTATTGAATGGATAAGATTTATAGATGACATATTTGCAATCTGTACACATAGCACTGACAAACTGGAAAAATTCCTTAAATACATCAACAATTTCCATCCTACCATTAAATTTGACTTCTCCTTTTCTGAGGAATGTGTCAACTTCCTTGACACAACTATCTACAAAAACAAAAACAACAAACTGGAATCAGACCTGTACATTAAACAAACTGACAAAACCCTTCTACAACACAAAAGCTCATTTCACCCCACCACATGCAAGAATGCAGTCATCTACAGTCAGGCACTACGATACAGACGCATTATTACAGACAACAACAAATTACAACAACGACTAAACCACCTCCTTATTGCACTGATCCATCGCGGATATGACCATGACACCATCACCACTAACTTCAACAAAGCCCTACAATACACTCAAACAGACCTACTCAATAGGAAACAAAACCAAAAAAACACAAGCCACCCAATTTTCTCCATTCCATACAACACAAACACAAAATACATTGCAAATATCCTACGTAAACACTGGAACATATTGGAGAATGACCCCACACTGAGGAGTCTATGGCAAGAACCTCCAATTGTAGCCTACCAACGTAATACTAACCTGAGAGACACACTTATCCCAGCAAAACTTAATACCAGACACAACACTAACCAAACATAATAACATCCCATAACCCAAATCCCCCAAGCCTCCCATCAACCCCAAACCTAACCTAAATCAGCCAGAAACCTCCACACCACCCTGAACACAGAGATACAAAAAAATTTTTAACCACTCCCAATTAACATTGTGTCTGAATACCACCTTGAAAACACAAGAGTGGATATAACAAACCAAAGAACTTACTGGGACACACTGGGTTATAAGTGAGAACATGCAAGAACCAACACATGACAAGCAAACCCTGTGGCACTCTCCTGTGAAAACTACATGACCTTAACCAGTCACATATCAAATCTGGCATCCTGGGCATCCTGCTGACATAAGTATAGAATAATTTTTTTTACAAAAATACTTGTCCTTAGCAGAATCAAGCCATAAATGTGACCAGATGCCCAAACAGAACCTAAATGTTCAACCATACGGATTAAATACACTTCAAATCATACCACATGAACATGGTCACGGGAAACATGGTCAGGTCCAACAATCCTTATGTAATATAATGTACAGTTCATATGTTGTATATATACAGTAACCATTGATATCTATATACCTACAACCTTACACTCACAATTATATGCACGGTTTACAAACTGATTATAAAACTTCTAAATACATACGAACCTTTATAATTAAAAACCTTGACTAGCTTAAATTGATCACCCTAGTAACGACCGAAACCCCCACCCCCACGGTCGACACATCGCCGAACATCGACCCACGTAAGTTTTTAGGACCCAGGATATTTTACTACCCACAGATGACGATATTGCATTGTAATTCCTCACCAAAGTCCAAAACAACTCGACCATACTTGTATTAACTCATGACTACGGCATACGGGTATATAATAAAATGTAACTTGAACAATAATAACGAACCATACCATAGGCATTACCATAGGCAGCCCAGACTTTGACTTGCGCGTGTGATACTCGCGCGCGTGTCGCGCTTACGTTGTTTACTTCGTCTATATATTATGACAAGGTAGGAAAGAGTTTATCAAAATATGACAGATATACCTTCGTAAATGTATAATTATCTAAAAAATTACTTGAAGAAACGCCACAAAAACTACAACCTAATAATTAACGATGATTAAACTACATTATCCTGCAGTTTCCATGTTTTTAAACAACATCTAAAGCCTTCAAATTAGCGAAATAAAACAGGAATTCATACGGAATTTTGAGAAAACTATCCGAGGGTCACTCCGCCTAAAGAAACGTCATCTTTTTTGAGATATTAACTAAACGCTCATTGGCTTACCTGCAGAACCACCAATGAGAACCAATGAGCGTTTAGTTAATATCTCAAAAAAGATGACGATTCCTTAGGCGGAGTGACCCTCGGATAGTTTTCTCAAAATTCCGTATGAATTCCTGTTTTATTTCGCTAATTTGAAGGCTTTAGATGTTGTTTAAAAACATGGAAACTGCAGGATAATGTAGTTTAATCATCGTTAATTATTAGGTTGTAGTTTTTGTGGCGTTTCTTCAAGTAATTTTTTAGATAACAAGACGCCGTTCTGGCGTTAACTCCGGCGCACGTGCCAGTCTTCAATATAGAGCTTCTGAACATAAACAATACAGTTCGCGTAATTGTTTCGCATACATATTCGCATTTAGATGCCTTACGAACCTAAATGTTCGATCGCAAAATTCAGAAGCACATCGCAGTATAGAAGTTCAATTGTTCAAAAATGTAAATAAACCGCATGATACATTCGCTTCGTCTTACACTTTGCCTTTGGAATTTGCGCTTATATAGTTGTATTAAATCTTCGATCCTGTGCAAACTACGCGACGTGTCAACGCGCCGATGCACGACCACATCATCTTGTTAAACGGCGAAATAGCAGCGATATTATTAAAATAGGACCGGTGTCCCAGGAAATTTGGCCCCCCCGGGCCATATTTCCTAGGAAATTTGGCCCCTCTGGGGGTCATATTTCCTAGGAAATATGGCCCCCCTTTCGGAAATTTGGCCCCCTCGAAAACATATACTTTATTACCATGAGTTCGAGAATCGAGAAGCTTCTAAAAGCAAGATCGTAAATGTTTGTTTGTATTCATACTTAGTTTGCTTCATTTATTTGTTGTGTAAAAGCTTTTCATCTCGGCGAAGAGCTAAGACGAATATTGTTAATGTGCACGTGGCTAACTTCTAGGATTATCATAACATTACTTGGGGCTTTAATCGAGAAATAAATAAATAAGTGGTAATTTCCTAAAACAACCTTTCCTATCTATGTATAACCGCTAAGTCTATAATTTATAGCCTTTATAAGGTCGCCAAATTAAGAATTTCTGGGGAGGACAAATCACGTATTTCACAGTTCGGAAATTTGGTCCCCCTCGATAACATACTTTATACTCTCAATATATATATATATAATATATATGTAATATATATATATATATATATATATATATATATATATATATATATATATATATAAAATATATATAGTTTTGAAAATCGCGAACTTTTGACTCAATATTCAACAAGTTTCTGAACCTAATATGAAATTCGTCAGAATAACAACCACACTTTAGCAAGCGATGACAACATGCGTTGGCGAAAGTGTTAATGTGCTGCGGCTAACATTTAGGGAGTAATTAATACAAATTTGCATAAAAACGTTTAAAAACAATCGGCAAACACAAAAACAAGGTTACATGCACCCATATAAAATCCGTCAGTGTTGTTTGTAAGTAGTAACTCAAACAAGAGTACAGCTAGATAGACTTTTATACACTTAAAACTTTTATACACTTAACGGTTCTCTAGCTCTAAAATGGTAAAGTAAACTATGTTTTTTAGAGGGGGGCCAAATTTCCGAATGGGGGGCCAAATTTCCTAGGATATTTGGCCCGGGGGGGCCAAATTTCCTGTGACACCGGCTCTACATGTATTGAATATATTCTTACCCCAATTCAATCTAAACTTAATCGAACAGCATGAAAAGGACGGTTTATTTGTTCCTCTTGGAGGAATTGCCGTATCATGCGAGCGAAATCGAATCGCGCATTGGACTGAATTAGCCAAAGCTGTGCACCACAACTCTTGAGAGATAAGACTGGGACGTAGATAAATACAGTCACATACACACTTTAATTACTAGAATGTTTCCAGCCATTTCAGACTTGCGACGACGAAAAATAAAAAAAAAAAAAAAACAAAACCGGGGCGAATTTTCAACTCCGTCGAAGTTACGAAGGTATATCTGTCATATTTTGATAAACTCTTTCCTACCTTGTCATAATATATAGACGAAGTAAACAACGTAAGCGCGACACGCGCGCGAGTATCACACGCGCAAGTCAAAGTCTGGGCTGCCTATGACCATACTACATGAAGTACACCATACGAACAAACCTCGATGTCCACACACAACCATAGTGACGTAACATACTAACGCATTTTATGCACACACGTGGGCATATGGTAAAACGCGGACTGGACTGGACTTGTAAAACACGGACTGGACTAAATTAGTAAAACACGGACTGGACTAAATTAGTAAAACACGGACTGGACTAAATTAGTAAAACGCGGACTGGACTAAATTAGTAAAACGCGCGGACTGGACTAAATTAGTAAAACACGGACTGGACTAAATTAGTAAAACGCAGACTGGAAACATTCCGGGCGTAAAAATCGAGCAATTCTTTCAGAATCTACGCAATTTATCATCTTATGTTATGAATTACGAGCATTCAATTCAACACAAATATAATTTGGAAGGTTTATTCCATTAATAGAGCTAAGAGGTTAGGAAGAAACGACGGTGTGTTGTTTATGTCGATAGCAAGTCGATACCTGGTATTCTGCATATACAGTACATAAATGATATTATACAGAACGGACATTTTGTGCAGTACTCAAATCATTTTACCGGTATACAGTATTGATTATAAGTATATTGTTTTGTATCGATTTACGCGTCGAAGTATGATTATGTCTATGATGTGGATATTAACTATTATGTCTATGATGTGGATATTAACTATTATGTCTATGATGTGGATATTAACTATTATGTCTATGATGTGGATACTTCGACGCGTAAATCGATACAAAACAATATACTTATAATCAATACTGTATACCGGCAAAATGATTTGATTACTGCACAAAATGTCCGGTTCTCTATAATATCATTTATGTACTGTATATGCAGAATACCAGGTATCGACTTGCTATCGACATAAACAACACACCGTCGTTTCTTCCTAACCTCTTAGCTCTATTAATGGAATAAACCTTCCAAATTATATTTGTGTTGAATTGAATGCTCGTAATTCATAACATAAGATGATAAATTGCGTAGATTCTGAAAGAATTGCTCGATTTTTACGCCCGGAATGTTTCCAGTCCGCGTTTTACTAATTTAGTCCAGTCCGTGTTTTACTGATTTAGTCCAGTCCGCGTTTTACTAATTTAGTCCAGTCCGCGTTTTACTAATTTAGTCCAGTCCGTGTTTTACTAATTTAGTCCAGTCCGCGTTTTACTAATTTAGTCCAGTCCGCGTTTTACTAATTTAGTCCAGTCCGTGTTTTACTAATTTAGTCCAGTCCGTGAACTAATTGAAATCTTCAGCTGGTAATTAGTAGAAATATGATTGAGTTCTTGACCTTGCTATAATAGCTCTTGCTAATAGACACTTTGACAGTAAACAATGCCATCTTTACAGGTTAGACAATGCAAAGTTCAATGGCATCTGCATGCATGAGTGATACTCACTATGGCTCACTCGTGTGGCCATTAAATTTCCTATTGTTATTTTTGTCTAAGGGTTCTTGTAATATGCAGTTTATATGACATACAGGTAGCTGCAATATGCTATATTAACAATTTCAATGGTAATAGACACTTGCTTTCTTGCTTATAGACACTTTCACAGTAAATGATGCAGTCTTTACAGGTTATGAAAAACAATAGGAATGAAATTGCAAATGCATGTATGGGTTAATTACTCACTATGGCTCACTCATGAATGTTGCCATTGAATTTCTTATTGTTATTTTTGCCCTATAGTACTTGCAGTATGCTGTTTATATGCCTTACAGTTACCTGCAATATGCTATATTACTAATTTTAGTGCTGTGTATATTCCCTAACCTCATCTGTCACAGTGCTCCCTTTTATTAAGTACAAAACAAATGTAGACCTGGTTTTGATACACTCTTAGATTTTTATCATTGCTATAAATCGCTAAAAATTTCGAAATTGAAGTTTCAGGCAAATTTTGAATTAGGTAGTCTCCATTGGTTTGACTAGAACTGATGTTTAGTACAAACTTTATCAATCATCTTTAACAGATTGTTCAATTTTTACTTTCCTAGGATTTGCTAAATATTTATTTGCAGAAATGATCAAATTGAAATCTTTAGCTGGTAAGTATAAATATGATTGAGTTTTTGACCTTGCTACAGTAGTAACAGCCCTTTCTTGTGTAAGACCATGATTGCCTTAAATTTGTTTGTTCTCACAGGGGATGTAAATCTCATATTTTCATTACCAACATGTAGCCTTTGTCCACTAAATTTCCCCAGAAATTTAGGGGAAATTTAGTGAAAGATGAAGGATTTTTTTGTCTGCTAATAATTCTTCCCAGAATATCAATGAGAAAGATTTGCAGGTG